TTTGAGTTAAAAACTGCATAGTTTGATGTCAATCAGTTAACCATCCATTTTCCTTAAAGCTGGGACTGAAAAGACGTCAGCCAGCAACATCGATACACCTCCTAATGTTGATGATTAGGGGAAAATACCAGTCAGACTGTAGTTAATGTCATATCTCCCAACCTTTCCCACCCAGGCTTAGTTTATCTACCAATTTTCAGTATGAATTATATTTAAAACTAATCTTCGTAGATGCTTATTCTCAAGTTTACTTTACATGGTTTCAAAAATAGGCAAGTCGACTGTATTTGTCTATGAATTATTACTTGTATAATATGAAAACAAACCTTTTCAGTTACGCAGATGAAGGATTCTTCATACACTCGATACACTTGTGTAGTGTAGTTGTATATATGCATTGTGTGTGTGCCTTGATCGATTTCTCTAATAAGTCATGGAAGCAAATAAGCACTTATATTACTACATATAGAGCACAAACTTGGTACAACGCTAGCACCAAGAGATTTGCCATACAAAGTAGTAAAGCAGCGTTATGAAACGACAGAAGACGGAAGTGGAATATTTATGAATCAGTTTCAAAGATACATCTGAAGAAGCATTCACTACTTCTATTTTATTTTTGGTAATAAGGAAGACAAGAAGACCGTAGCATCATTGTCACTGGTTTGGATTCTGGGCCATACGTGCTATCGTCCCAAATCAGTTAGTTGGGTGACTTGTCGAATCCCATCCAACTGATGCCAACCTAACACAACAATCTTTCATTTCACAACGCCACATCATAAGTACAACAGTAACAATACGCATTCAACCCACAAACATCCGTGTAGTAGGCAATGAGCCATGCCTATTTTGTGAGGCCTAGTGATACTACCTAAGTGTCCAGACCTCGATAGGTGGAGCAGGGCTCGAACCCGTGACCCAGTGGTTGATAGTCATCTTCCAAAACTACTCACAGATTTGCGAACAAGTTACTGAATATCTCAAATGCATAATTCTACACAAGCCCAGTCTTATTTGTAAATTCTTTTTAACTTATGAGCCATTGGTTTCTCAACTATATTTATCTTTTTGAACTGTCTGATAACATAATGTAAATTGGCTAATCGTCAGTTAAATTGGTTAATCCAACAATAGTACTAGAACTCGGAAGTGAATTTCATTTGTTTTTTGTCAAACACCACAAACACGGTATCTACATCTCCCGATCAACAAAACAATTAATGCCATATCTTTGTACGTTTAATAATTATATACGTTATTCATACTTAACTTGCCTGTTGTAAATGATGTGCTTCTAATATATCCATGATGACTCTTCTTCGCCTTTTCTGGCGTTCACATATTGCATTTCTTTCTTCTGTGACTTTCGAATGAATTTGTTTCATGTAATTTACTGTTGTTTTGTTGGGATCATTTGTTATGGTACCTAGTGCCTGCAAGCTGAAAGCTGAATTCAATACTTCGTTAGTTTTATCTTTTAGCTTCAATTTGTTGATATTGGTTCCTTCAATATCCTTGTGAAGCAGATCAAATTCATCCAGTTCCCTCAAGCTTATATTACACTGTATTAGAGTGATTGCAGAAAGGAACAGTTGTAGAGTAAGATAGTTATTACACATTAGATGAAGCATATTGACGAACTTTTCATTGAAAGTTTTCAGTAATAAGTCTAAATAGGCGAATGTTGTTTTAATTAGGTTTTACAAATTTAGATACAATGAACTAGCGAGTTGAAATTCCAACTATTCGTGCGACTATGCTCAATAATGTTTCTCAGAATATTTCCAAAAATGAAAACGTTACCGGAGTGTGAAAATTCATTTTGTATTTATTTATGACAAACTAATATCACATACCTATAAGTAAAGAAACTAAGAGGTTAATTGCATGGTAATACAGTTTAGAACATTATTATTTATTAGAGCCTCTTACGCTCTTCCAATTTATTGCAAGTTACCTGAGACGTATTTCCAAAACTGCGGTATAACTACTTACAAACAACAAACTTTTCTGCATAGTGGTTATTAAATTGGTGTACTGAATTAGAGTAATAACTTAGATGCTTCGACCAGTTGTCGTTACTTCCATTACCAAGATAGTATCATACCCCACTTCTTAGCGTTTATAACAGTTCGCCTAACATGGAGTTCGCTGGCTCTATCATAATAAGTTAACTGATCTCAAACGGTAATGAATATGTGTTAATTAGTTCCAAAGAAGAATCATTAAGTTCGACCAATAAGGCCTGGATAATTACAATGTTTAGGTCATCTAATATTTGGGGAACTTTTATTTAACAGTAACCAAATTACTATCTTATATATATATATATATATATATATATATATATATATATATATATATATATGCCACAGGAACCTACCGTATTTGCTTTAGTTTGTCGCGTATCCTTGTTCGCAGATATTAGTTTCTTTCTAACAGACTTTGGGAGGTTGATGATATTTGCTCTGAAATAAAAATGAAAATATACTTTCACGATTGAAATTTTGAAGTCGCCAAAGGTTTCACATGTAGAAGAATAAAACTATATTTCAGGAAATATTAAGGTCCATTGTACTGAAACTTACAGTGACAGTATTCAAAACTATGCTGTAAAATCAGAGGTTAGATAAACTAACTGTTAGTTATAATAACGAAGGCGTACTGAGTGAAGAACATTAATATTCAGATGTCAGCTGACCATGAAGCTGCATATTTTATCATAACAGCTACTAGCAACCTGAGGTAATACGATTTTGTAGAAAGATTTACTGTGATCTACCTTCTTTCTATATCACTGAATTATTTGTGATGTAACTTAAAATAATAGTAGGTGATTTATGAAAAAGAGAAAATTTGATGTAACTTAATCGAATGTTTCATGATTGGGTTCTCCAGTTATTAAAATTTCACCTGAACGATACTTAAAAGCTGTCCTGTTAATTTAGTCAGGTTTACGTAAATAGGCTCACTTTTCTCATGGGTTAATACCAACCAGAGAAACACTGAAAATTATGAAGAATTGGTTAACTGTCACATGTTAATTTGTTACTGCCTAACAGATTTCCTGTCCTATCTAACATGAAATCGAATTAGAGACTGTGAGGTCTAGGTGTATGCTACTCTCCAGCTACTAGATAAAAATTTATTATAGTACTTCCCTGTTTTTGGATGGTTCTCTTACTGCTGTTAGACAGTGATGAGAGTCACTTTCAAATTGGTCACCTTCCTAAAAATGAATCCTCTGTCTAAATGTAATACATTCTCTTTACTGCAACCATTTTGTTAACTAAAATGCATTGTAACTTGGTTTTGTAAATGGAATGAACGTGAGTAGTGAAGGGTTTCGTAAGACCTGAAATTCATGGATAATTAGTAACACTATCTGTTATAAATTAACTGAATTATTTTTGACTCAAGTTGATAAATATTTCCTTTCAGGAGTTTTCTAATAGTTCATGAGTTTACATAGAATGTCAAGAAGGCTAACTCAGCTGAAAGTTTCACAAGCATTACTTTGTAACTGTAAAATAACACTGGGCACCGAATGATCAAAAAGACTGCTTGTAACTAGATATACATTGATTGGTAATACCCATAAAAAACAACTCATTGACTGTAATCTGTAGTTTCCCCAAACTGACAGATTATTAAGTAGTTAAACAAACATTCAACTAACTTATTTTTGAGTGAGTTTAAACAATTTTCCACAAATAGTGTGACCTTAAATATACACATTAATAAGCCACTTCATATGCAGTATTTGAGATGATAGAGATAAACAATGCGTTTTGGTCCCTATCACGAAGTTATACTTTCTTGAAGTTATCTAATTCTCTCATTGTTTTAAGAAACTTTGCGTTCAAATTATGTACCACTTCCTTGAAATATATATATATATATATATATATATATATATGTATATAACATAGCGTATGAGTAAATGCTAGAAAGAATATCAAAAGCAGTTATCTAATTGGTAGTTTGTGGGGATGAACTGCTTTGAAAGTTAGATTCTTCAGGAACTGACATCAGTTGAAATCAATCAATCAAAATACACCAATGACTGGATTATTGTACTTTGCTCATCACTCACTTGTTTCGAGGTGAATTTACGGGAAATTTTATGAAGAGCTGTGACCTTTGGGGTCAAACAAGTCGAGCGTAAGGATATTTGCTGGCCGATGACAATGGATGGTCGTCGTGCTATATCATGAATTGACAGAAGATAATGTGGACCACTAATCTAGTAGTTGAATAGCAACATGCTCGCCACCGGATCCGAAGATCCTAGTTTGGAATCCTCGTGAAGTCGTGAGTGCATACTGTCGAAAATTCCCATGCTAGTACGAAGCCGCTGTTCAGTCGTCCTAGGTTTTCAATGGCTCTTCAATTAATGTCACTCGGTGATGAATACCACTTTGAAAAATTAAGTTATTAATTTGAGAACAAGTTACATTTATTTGAAATATTATCTCAAAGACTTAGAAAACAAGGGTTCATATGAGGTTAATTCATGTTACCCAAGGAATCAAGTTATTGAGTGTCCTTAGTGAGTGATAAAAGGCGAATAAGACCAAAGTTAATACTTCAGGTCATCAAGTACTAGTTGAAGGTTTTCATGGTTCACCAATATGTTGTTGAAATAGTCTTACTTGACACTTTTTCTTCTCGTTAAACCGGTCAGCAGAAATCAGAAAACTGTTTTCTCACTGTTTTGGTGTTAGTCAAGGCATTATTTACAACTGTGGATCTTTAAAATGCCACTAGCAGTCATACTCTAGGTAACGTCTTTTGAAACTCGCAACTCAATAAACCATAAAGTTTTGGCCAAATAACATTGCTCAATGACGGTAAATTGAAATTATCCAGTGTAGTTTATTTTTTACTTATTTCTGAGTCCACCAGAAAACTTCTGGAGTGTCTTTTAAAATATCCCATGCAATTTTTCATCGGTTTTGGGTAGAATCTTTCCTTCTTACTTAAAAACGTAATTCCTTAGTTTATACAACCTTCGAATTGGTAGTCACGAAAAAACATGCATGATTTCCGATTGGTGATATAAAGGCCTTTTATTGATCAAATTAATTTGTCTCTCTAGGTAGTTTCACAATTTTAAATGATGGTGACCATCTCTTACGTGCCCTACTGTTGGAAGGTTCGGATCAAGTCCTACCCTCTGATATTCTTACATACTATTTTATTCTTTTTCAGATTAAATCATTTTGAGTTCACTTGATTACTGTGTGAAGATCAAACTAAAGTCTCTTCATAGTTCAGTTAGATAAACCGAAAGAAATATCAGTCCACTAAACACTTATTTTGCATCAATGATTCCATTTATTTTATTCCGTTAGCTGTTCGTAAAGTATAATATGTATTCACACAGGCTATATTTTTCGTGGTCAATGAAGAATTCAGCATCAAATTGTTGAAAAAATACAAACTGATTTGCCGAAAAATTAAAAGATGGAAATCCTAACCCATGGTTCTTAATGATCTACATTTATCGTTATCTATTTGTTTCAGGCCCAAATGTTCCTAATCATTTTGCTGTATACTAAAAAATTTTCAAAGTCCTATTTTATATATGTACTGCGCAGTAAAATATTTAGATATGTAATTCGTTGTAGCAGATATAAATATTTAGAAGTGATATTAGGCTCTGTTAGGAATTGTTCAAAATTGAGGCCTATTAATACTTATGGAATAAGAAAAAGATTAGAGGATATGAAATTAGAGGGCGATAAAAAAGGTTAGCTTTGATTTTGCTAGCTTCTGCATTAATAAGTCAGTTAATATGGTCCTTGAGGGAACTGTAAATGAACTCAGTGCTGACTAACATCTCACACTTAGGAACAGGATATCAGTGGAAGAAATTATTTTAGGGATGTAATTAAATCTGATTTCTACCGTCCTCAAGTTTCAGACTAAAGTATGCAAACAGCCAGTAGGATTTGCCTCGGAATCACCAATATCCCTGACTGCAGCATTAATATTTCTGGAAAATTGGAAATGTATTGCCCAATGGAAATCTTACCCTACTCCCAAAGTATGGTGAAGATATGTGAATAACACGCATATAGTGCTGAAATCCGAACATATCGATATATTTCTCAAAAACATAAACTCAGTCGAATTCACATATGAACTAGAAAATATGAAACAGTAGTAGCTATGTTGGACTGTAAAATTAAGCGAAGGCAAGATGAAGGATCATATTATTATTATTATTATTATTAGTCCCTCGAAACATAGGGTTTCAGTAGCACGTCGGCATTTCACTCTCTTCTCTGACGTCTTTTCAACCTGGCGCATGACTACCCAGAAGCATTCATTTCTTCCTCACACCATATCCTCCATGTCACCCTCGAAAGCCCAACTCATCTTTTCTTATTTGCGTTCCACTTGAGGGCCTGGCCCGTGATGTCCGCAAACGGCCTTCTTAGTGTATGTCCAATTCAATCTATCCCCACTTTCTTCTGCATATTTGTTGCTTATTCTTTCTGGCCATCTGATCTCCATCTTCAGTATCGAGTGAGTGTAGGAAGCAGCTGTTGGTGAATGTCTGTAGTTTGATGGAAATGCCTTTTGTAAAGCGCCAAGTTTTTGAACCATATAGAAGCACTGACTTGACATTGGTGTTGAAAATCCGGATCTTGTTCTTCATGCTGAGTGTAGTAGATCTCCACACTGATTTCAGATTAATGGAGGTCCTTTTTGTTTTTCCAATCCTGGCTTTGAAATCCTCAGCTGTACCTGTACCCCCTATAGTTGAAACGATGCTGCCTAGGTAGGTGCAGGTGAAAGAGACTACTTCCTTTAGATTTCTCCCTTTCATGGTGACTGTTGTTGCTGTCATTGGTCAGGTATCTTCATCACCTCTGTCCTCTCCACGTTCATCTGGAGTCCCGTCTTTGCTGCCTAGCCTCTTTTGTTGGTTTTAGCCTGTAGATCTTCGAGTTCCTGCCACAAAAAATTAGATGTAAGTCATCAACGGTGGCGAAATCCAAATCTTCTTCTAGGCTCTTTTCATCGGTCCAACCTGCGTATGCCTGTCTTCTTGCTCCTCATGGTTTGCCGCATGATCCAGTCGACCACAATCAGGAAGATCATCGGTGATGGTAGGCTGCAACCTTGTCTTACTCCTGTCATCACTTCAAAGGCGTCACTGAGCTTTCCATTGTGAATCACCAGGCAACGTAGCATCCTAATATAGCATATAGCTGTTGAATGAGATTGATAGTTATTTGTGGCAGTAAAACCGTAGTATTGAAGCAACTGTCTGACAAATTACTTCTCGGTCGACGCTATCGAAGGCCTTTTCAAAGTCGACGAAGTTGAGGTAAAGATCCAGTTGACTGCCATTCTATGCTGTGTTATATAATGATGCATAGTGTTACAATTAGATCCGGTTGTAATTTTGAATGCAGAGCGTTTTTTAGCCTCTCCAGGATGATGCGGCCTACTACTTTACTTGGTGTTTACAGGAGCATGATTCTGCGCAAAGACTTAGGTCACTCTTTTCTGGGAGTTTGACAAGGTAACCCTTCTTACAGTCAATCGGCAGGTTCCTTTCGTTCCTTCCAAACCACTTTTTATATTTTTCGATTTCGTATAGCATACAGTGACGTTGTATCATTTACCAGATGACGTTTCAAGCACAACTCGTTGCTCATAATCATGCCAAGGAAATCACATAACTTTCTGATTTGGCTTTTATTTTTCTGTTGTTTTTCATTCTCTTGTTTGATTGGTAGTAAAATTTTCGGCACATTAGGAATCAGTGTTTCCTCAATTAGATTAAAAGTGTTTGACACTGAACTGATAAACGAAGATTCAGTGGTTACTTTCTTTCTTTCTCTCTCTCTCTCTCTCTCTCTCTCTCTCCACTTAACAATATTAGCTTTCAGGAAAGGAGTTACAATCCTATAATGTAATGACGGTGAAGTCAAACTACGACCGGCATCAATTAAGGTAGCAGAAAATAGAGATCTAGCCAAACAAAGAGTCATGTAATGCTTGGTTATGGCTACCAGAGGAATCCAGCATGCACACTTCGTCCTATTTGGGAGCCGCCAGCTGCATGTACCTGCACCCTAGTCAAGTATGTTGTTCCTACCGAGACTTGAACCTGGCACACATCGCCTCAAACGCCAAAGCGTTATCCTGTAGATCAGTGAGGTGTAATATCCACCTCTTGTGCAACGGGTATTAGTTATTACTATTTATTGATATGCTTGTAATTCCCCATTGTTTTACTGGGTTGAATTGTTAGACCTCTAGGAAGAAACGCGCATCCTGGATTTCTCTGCTAGCCAAAACTAGGTGTGTTATCATAATAAATATTCAAGCAATATTGAGATATCCGCAAAGGAGCCCAAACGCCAACAGAAGTCGAACAGTTCGATCCAGAAAACAACGGAGAATTATAAGCATACCAACAAAAAGAATTAGAAATCCTAGAAAAATAAAAAATCTAGAAAATGGCTCAGTTATAGTCATGCATGCTTTCACACACAACCACAGAATAGGATGGGGGTGGAATGACGTCTTTTTAATATAACTTGGGCCAGCGGAGACAGATTTATAACTCAAGCTCTGTTTATCAAATCGATACCTGACACATGCAGTAGAAATAACACGATCCTGAGTATATGTTAAGTTTTGCTACCAATAAAATCAAAGAATGAAAATAAATAGAGCCATAAAACTAGACCTGAAATTTGTGTGGTTACCTTGACTTGATTGTGAACAGCAAATTCTGCTCGAAACGTCATCAGAACATAATAATGATTTCACATTAGATTTGTTTATTTGATTTATAACACACAGTGATCTAGTATTATTTACTTGATGACGTTTCGAGTATAAATTATTGCTTATAATCATATCAATGTGGTATGATTATGAGTAATAATTTATGCTCGAAACGTCATCAAGTAAATAATACTAGATCACTGTGTGTTATGAATCAAACAAACAAATCTAATATGGAATTAAATCCGACCACAGTGCCCAAGTTTTACACCTATAATAATAATGATCCATTGTGTGATGCATATATGGAAAAGAAATATAATGAAATAACGCTCTACTAAAGTACCCAAATTCCATTCTTATAAAAATGAAACTGTTTTATTGTTACTTAATAGCTGAATACAACATATTTTTGTGTTCCAGCCCATCAAGATAGAAATTGTAGGTAGACACATAGCACTAACTAGTTTATTGACTACCAGGGTGATTGGCATCAAAAGACTAAAATGCATTATATTAACGTCATTTCGCATGACACTGGCGGAATAACTCAATAAGGTGATTTAGATAATCTCATTAGTAGCACATTTTAAATCCTTTACCACCAGATAAAGTGTTCGTTATTGCCTGAAGGCAGTATATGCCATCTGACAGTAAAATGTCTGCAAATAATCATATCTCCTGACACCTTACCTTCTGATAGGCTTCATATCTGCTTCACAAAACAACATGGGCCCGTTCCTTAATAACAGCTAGACAGTTTCATTTAAGCTTGTCTTTCCGAAAAGTATACGTACTTTAATTCTGTCGCATTGGGTCGCTGTATCAGTGCAATGTGTAAAATATGTTACTGTCACTGAATAATATACTCTGAGGTAGATGTTAGTATTTATATATCTCTTCTGACTGAATATCCTTTGGATTACTTGAACGGAAACGATTATGAAAGAGGGCTTGGGTATTCATGTCTATATTTGAGATTTTCAATGGTGTATGCGAAATATCTTCCTAAGAAGGTGTAAAGATTGTTATTTGTGAAACTGTTTCATTTCAACTGAATATTACTTTTGTGGCAATGATTTCTGAACTTAAAAATCTTTTCAACATTTCATGAGCCGAGGATTTTGTGAGTGAAATTATTCAAGATAAATCGCAATATTTCTAATCCCATTCGTAGCAGTGGATTCATTGCTAGAATAAATTGAGTGAAGTGAACGCTCTCACCCTGGAAAACCATAATTTGTGCAAATAAACTGACGACTTTATTTAGTTTTCTGTGAACCATGTAATTGTGGATATGAATTTATCAGCCAATATTTATAAATGGCAATTCTATTCTTGTCATCAAAAATACTATGGACTGGATACTGTGATGATGCGATGTTGGTCACAGAATGCGGCAAACTGTTCTCCCAATAACAGTTCATAAATCCAACAGAAAACAGATGAATGTGTTGATGATCATGAATATATGACATAGATAAGTTTGATGTGATACCTGGTAATCCACACAGAGCTAACCTTCTAATATTCACCTAAATTCATTGCTGTAAGCCATGGTGAAAAAGATATCATCAACATTAAAACTGATACGACATGTAGGAATTAGAGTTGCATTATATATATATATATATATATATATATATATATATATATATATATATATATTACCGCAGAAGGATGACACAAACAAACATGCAAGGTGATTACTCACTCTAATTTAGCCATTAGTTCAGATTGCATTACACGTAAATCATAACTTCTTTGAAGCCTTGAATTTCGATGTTTTTGGATTAACGCATTTTTTTCTAATAAGGTTTTTATGTCAGCTTTCTTCGTTTGTTCATCTTTTATTTGTTTTCGTTTTTCGAAACGTGATAAAATTTGTGCCAGACTAATATCTGACTGTCGAGGGATGAGCTGTTTCAATTGCTTTATAAGCATAGAAAAAATAGTAAAAAACTGAACAATGTACATGAAATTGTGTCCAATGTGCGTACATGGTTACTCTTATCGAAATATACTTGCCATAAATGTTAATTACTTAGACTGCACACAGTGTTTTACCTGAACTGTTTATCTTATTTACCAAGATTTGGTAACGAAGCGATTAAAGAGACAGATAAACAAGCAAAATGAACGTAGAACCATGAGCAGAAGTACACCAATCAAGTTGCCACACTTCACAGTAAAATAAGAAGAAAAAATAGACAAAAAACGACTCATATCAAAGTAGACTAAGGTGTATGGGGGGAGAAAGGATTTAAAAATAACAGTCAGTGAAAACAGCCAGGCTTCAGAAAACTTTAAAAAGTGAATAAATCTGCCCTATCGTGACCGGTCTTTATCCATGTAACTGAATGTCTCTAACCATTGGTCCCGGTTCGTCTCGAGGAATCAAAGCAAGTGATCTACACCTCCAAACACAGCTAAGACCAAGAACCAGAGACTTCATGAGCTGGTGCACATAGTGTTCATTAGATAACTCATGTAAAGTATGCTAATATCCCAATCCCCCAATGTCGATAAATCTCAGATTTTCCCTTGCATACAAAAAAGAGTATTGTTACATTAAATCTCGGAAAATGTGAAATCATAAACCGAAATGAATTTGTTAACTGCTTCAGTTATTTCAAGGACTTTAGGCTAAGAACAAAGGTGTGTGTGTGCGGGAAAGCATACGAGCAAAATACGGTGAAAATAAATATAAGAACAGCGTAGAACCAAAGGAAACATTTAAATAAAAAAATTGGCTTCTTTGGCTAGAGTGAAGCAGATAGAAAATGCGGGAAATGTGAACTGTCTATCTTTTAAGTACCCAAGCTACTACGAACCAGCATAGGATAACACAAATAAATCAACTGGAAAAGATAAAAAGACCATGCTTTAAACGTCCAGAGGGAAACACTGACACTAAATCTACTAGACATCTAGAAGTCAATTGAGAATCTGAACGTAAACTTAAATATGCGGTCACAAAAAGACAAAAATGTAGCCAGAAAATTAAACTACCATAAATACGTTAAAGGGAGCATCATCACGACAAACTCAGAAGCCACTGTAAATGAGCTACACCGACCACTTCTTAAAACCGGAAAATTAAAAGTGTGCCAGTCTTGTACCCTGCAGAATGGAGGAAAAGCCAAAAATATTTGCTAACTAAAGGGCGATAGCGCTCTTACAAGTCCTGTTAGACGTTTTTATCAGACTCATCTTGAACAGAGTTAAAGACTGAGTTCGAGATTATTTGGCCGTTTTTTCAGACGAAAACATGCACAGAGCATATGTACCTTTGGAGACAGTCATCGAAGAGCCGGCTTCAAAAAATAAAAAGTATTTTAGTGACTCAATGGAGGTTTATGAACTAGTCTATTAGTTACTACTATTTGTGATGAGTTACGACGGCATTCAACTTTTCATACCAAGGTAGGCAGATAGAGCTCTTGAAATGGAGCCAGCAGTCTTTAATATTAATGTCTAGACAGCTGCGCCAAATCCCACCAACCTGGTAAATTGCATTTCCCACTTTTCGGTCCCGAACTCTAAAAATAAATGAACAAATTGACGTGGAAAATTCGCTTAGAATGTATCAGTTCAACGTATCACATTTTAAAACAAAATGAAAAGTTAAGTGAATAGAGGAATATTGATATCAAAGTTGGCGAAAGTGTACAATAGGAAGAAAGATAGGTGGAAAAAGTGATGAATTTTTTTGAAATTCAACTATTATAAAAACTTGTATATCTGCACCATTATGGCATTAAGTAAACTGAACGTTTTAGCAAGGTCGGAATGTGTAAGTGACTTTTATGTTCGTCTGTCGCTAGTTAGTCTGATAGCACATTTACCAAGCGTAAAACCAGGTGTAGTGAACTCAATTTAAATCCGTAGTTCGGTAAGTTAGTGACATGAGAAAGGCAACTGAATCATGGACCAACCATAAAGGAGTTTTCTGCAGCTGATAACAAACATTCATGCCACACTCTTGTCGGTTATTCACAAACTGTCAAAAGAGGTATGCCTAAAAACCATTCAACTATGTAGAGGTAATTACCGTTTGAGAATGTAGATAACTTCGTTCAACGTTCAGTTCAAACTAATAAATACCATGGGCCGGTTAACTTGCTGTTATGAACTTAAATACTATCCAGCTTAAAGCTGCTACCTTAACGTGGTGGTCGAGTTTGGATATCACAATGACCCAACGAGCTATGTTGGTCGAACGCTTGTTCCCTCGAGATCAATTTATTTTAAAAAGGCCCGCTGAGTAGTAGTGAGATGAAAAGCAATTACCACTGTGGTATGGATTACTACACTCTGATGAGACTCTGAAGATGACAGTGGTAAGGCATTTCTCTTGAATCACCAACAGTGCCACATTGGTCCCCTTCTCCCAGTAGGAAGGGAAAACCATAAAAGGTTGACCCCAAAAACAGCACATTCCTCTCTACCCCATATTCTTCCCTAATAGGCCTAAATAGTTGAGTGTTACCCAACGCTGATTCCTTCCGCGGCACTCTCGCTTTCGCCACTCACCATTGCTCGCGATCGACGTGAAGACTCTTGGTCAATTTACTTTCTAGTTGCATTCGCCCTTCGTCATAGTCAGAGCCAGTTGGAATCAGTCTTCTCTCATCGATCAGTTTATATGACGTTGCGGAAATCCAATGGCGTTTGCTAACTTCCGAGTGTTGATTACCAATTGTCTTTACCGCCGTTTCTACAGTAGACCTAATATCGCCCCAGGTTTTCTCAGAATTAGCACTGCTGTCACGTTCAGATAAATGCTGGGCTAACTCCTATCAAACTGCGTACTTGGTGTCCTCACCTATCAATTGAGCACATACGCGCCTCACTGCATCCTATTTCCTGCGACCAGTAAAGAACAGACATATGCGAGCCCGTACTAGCGCAAAAACAGCACATTCCTCTCTACCCCATGGTCTTCCAGTGCCGGTAGTACGGGTCCTCTCTGTCCAGTGTCGGAACAACCAAACCTCAAAACAACATCCTACAATTCTTTTCGTTTTTATCTTTCAGGCACCTTAAGAAGAAATAGTCTTCCGCGAAGTGTCAACCACCAGCACGCTTCCAGTTACTACTGGAAGACCCAATCGAATGTAACCTATTCCGGTCAACTATATCTCCTCCTTTGCCTCCACCTCCTGATACTAATATCAAGCCCCTTGTGGCTTACCCAACGTCTCGCTCTGCAACCATTGCGAACGACCAAAACCATCGAAACCTCAAACCTAGTCTCCTAAGACCTCACCATCGATTTCATGTAGGAGCTTTCTACGTCCTAACTCTATGCCAAACGGAACAGCAAACGTCGTTCGCCAAAACTAGGATTCCTGATGAGGTTGTAAAGTTGAGTCGATCGAGATGACTTTGACATGCACTCTGCATGGTGAGCCACTGCCTACCTTGAATTGCCATGTTAAGGGAAGTTGGATTACGTTGGAAGAGGTTTCAGTGTAACCAGATCGAGACGTGGCACCAGTCGATCAAGTCCCCTACCATTGACCTGAGCTGTTTGTAGAGATGATTCTTGATGACATGGCTGAAAATCGGTCACTGGCTCAGGGATGTACTCACTCCCTGACATCTCCTAGAGCTTGGATATTTGTATCAACCTTTATCTTCAAACCGCTTGTTCTCTCACACAACTTTGTCTACTTTGATATCACTCTCTTTCCATCCACCTGTTTTTTGTGTACTACTGTGAAGTGTGGTAACTTGAGCTAATGTACTCGTGAGCGAGGTCTTATGATGAGTTTGTTTGACAGTAGTTAACACTTTACTAAAATGTCAACCTGTCTGTTCATTACTAGGTAATATAACACTAAAAAGCTGAAACACATGATATTTTACTAGCCACAGAATGAATAATATAATGAGTAGGATTATTTAAGTAATCTGGTTACCGGGAGATTCTCGCTTTACTTATAAAGTTAAACGAATGCAACTGAAGGCAAATTAATGAAGCGAAACAAAACAATATTATTGTCCTAACCTTAGCCCGAAACCTATATCCAGGGCTTTCTACAGATTGCTCCCGTCCACCTAAAAAATTAAATGTTGTTATGTAGTAGGTTTTCACGAAAAAATTCACAACTCTGGTAATGCTCACAGTGGTTTTCCACAAGATAACAGCAAGATTCAGAGCTCTTTAGAATTATCGTAACTACCCATGCACCAGTACTTTAGTGATTTACAGGATGATGAATGCAACTTTTCGATTAGTGCAGTAATTAGTTTGCATATGTTTTAATGAATACAGTCGAATTCCAGTCAGCTTTGGCATGGAAAACAATCCTCTTGACCTTAGTCGACCTCCGTAAATAACAGTGATTGAAAGTTTACTAATGCGTTCATCAAGTTCTCATTATGGGCCATAAGTTACAACGAGAATTTGTATTTCATTTTTAGTTTGAAGTAATGTCAAAGAGTGTTATTACAAAGCTATTTTGATCTTGTGCCTCCTTACTTATTTTGGAAACATAAGGCTGGGTGTCGTTCGAATATCTCACCAATATCTTCGCAACATATTTTAAAATCTACAATTATGACTGTGAACATAATAGTAACAAACGGAAACAACAACCCCAAGTCCTTTCTATTTGTCCAAATAATACAATTAGCAAAATAAGAGAGGACGGTAAGTTGGATATTGAACAGAATTCAAATATTTACGGAGCCGTGCTTTGAAACTAAGATGCATTAACTAGCTGAATGTAAGATCTATGATGAGCAATGCAACGTCAGCAGACAAAGTGATAAATTTAATCAGATATTGAACAGGTAGATAATAAACGACAGCCTCAAAAATAGTTTGTTTTCTTGGTTCTGGTATCCGACGGATCGCATTTAAAGAGTTCACAATGTAGACTTATACTTCGTCTCCAGGGTTCCTAGGATATGAAAAAGGATTTTCAATACCATGCACACCGGTTTATGAGAACCAGGTAACAATGACAAATGCCACCTTATGCGTTGTGTTTACTTTGCATAAGGATTACATCAGTCATGTCACGCGCCATACATACAAGTTACAGAGTGAAAAAGGTTCAGGGCAGCATTTATCATGAACTGACATTAGCTGGAGAACCATTAAAACCTTGGAGCATAGGACGGCCACTTCGTTTTAGTAAAGGGCTTCCCATCAGTCCCCATCCACGACTCGGCTAGGGATTGAGAGCAGGATTTACTTGATGAAGCTTATTTTTTGTGTTCGCTTACTGCAGTATACCAGAAGGAGTTTAATGCACTCAAAACCTAATCAAACCTTACTTTTTAGATGGTTATGTCCCCTCCTTGATTGTCGATACCTTTTATCAATTGTCTTTTATCACAAACATAGGTATTTTTTGCTTACTGAGTCATTGGCTCGCGATCTTCTGTTCTATTCAAGATTCTTATGGTGCTTCAGTAGAGTACCACTATGAAATATACACATAACTTCCTAATAGCCCTAAGTAACAACACTGTCAAGTCCATTAACATACTTAAAGGCTAGACAAAAGACTACCAACGGGCTGTCGTTGAAGAAGTCACCAATCTGTTTTGCTACAAAAATCCAATACACATTTAAATTGTGCTGGATAATAAAGAAATGTTTCAAATTCTTCATATCCTAATATCCATCTTAAAAATTTCTCACAGACTTTGGTAAATAACCGAAATAAACTCACTTAACTCACTATTAAAAATCTAGCCCGGTAGTGGTTCCCCGTTTCTGTTGTCAGGTACTCTGAAGAGACCGACAGATAATATTGCCTTAAAAACATTTTAATTAGAAAATTTTCGCATATGCACATGTGGTGAATATATATATATATATATATATATATATATATATATATATATATATATATATATAATATTAATAAGCGAAGAGATGGTTCGACATACTACCCGAAAGAATAATTTGCTACAAAAGCTCGCTATTTACACGTTCTGTCGACATAAAATTTAGTGAAAGCAGACAGATACTAACAAAAGCTTAAAGTAATTATTCACCTGCTTGTAAGACAAATTTAGAAAAGTGTTCAGTTTCGTGCGATCGGAACGACAGAAGTTGATAGAATCCGAACAACCAGAACCTTCTGTTCCATTAAGTATCACATAAATTTGATACAGAAGATTCTGTATACTTCCAGGCTTTCCCGTAATTATGTCGTGACTCAAATTTGCATCGATATTTATTCCGAGCTCATGAAAAGCTGACCGAAGATATGTGAAATTTTGTACAATAGAATTTGTTGAGCTTCAAAAATAAAACAAATGAAAACCTACTCTGAGTTTCTCAGGAGATGAAGTTTCTGAAATTTACCGTGGTTGTACAAAAGTTTTCCAAGTAAGTAACCGTTTGCGAATGCCTTCTCAATTGGTTGGCCTATTTTGCTAATTCTATCCAATACAAGATGCTACTCACCCTGCAAATCTAATTCGTTCGAAACCCACGAAGCAATGATGTTAGTCATAATCTGGTCTCAACAGAGATTGGGATGTATTCATAAAGTGAACGTAACCGTTGTTGTGACAACATTTAAATGTCCAATGAAACGGTGACAAGCTGGCGCATTTATCAATGCTTTTTTTGACAAGGCGCGATCATCGACCTTTATTCCTTTTCTGTGCAGTAAATCGGGCTTCTAGCCTTTTGCATCTTTGTACTTTTAAGCACATGGTTGGATGTCAGCTTTTTCTGGAGAAGTCTACGTTATGTCCTAAAAGAGTTTACGTGCTAAGACAGTCTAATGGACCACTAAGATGAAATAAGAATGGTCACTGGATAGTTCAGGGTTTAGAAGGGAAAGGGTCAGCAGCAATACAGGAAGAAACGCATGCAGCATCGAACTAATTCTGTCCCTCAGTTTTGTTTTTTCCACAGTTGTGTGAAGAAGGTTCATGAGAAATTGCGTAATGATCTCTCCTCTTCCTGAAGCTGCCATATGAAGGAAATATGGCTACGTTAGTCAGCAGGAAGGGGCAGAAGTTGACTGTCTTTGGTCAGTGCTGTCCAGCGACTGGACTTACTTAGGTTACTGAGAGAATTTGTCGCAGTGCTTTATGTAGATGACTTCAGTTGTTTATTGTTTTGAAAGCTGTACATTTGTCACCCCCGTAAATGAGGTTTTAAAAACCATTTTTCTGAAGTGACTCTTTATATGGTCTGTGTAAAATCATATTGAGAGAGATTCACATTTATTTTCAGTTTCGCAGCAAAGTGAAGACAAACGTCTCATCCTTTCACCGTGTGCAAGAGCTTACTGCATCAGACAGAGTATACAGTCTTCGATGGCTCAAGGTTGTATACATACGTATTTTGTCGCTTCAGCAGGAAGAAAGCTGGTTCACTATCTATGTCTGACCTCCTTATCGTTGCTAAGTCGTTACTGAGCGCGGGGAGTCGTATTCGCACCCTGAAACCCCCTACATCTTGACTCCCTGGGCGTGAAGAAGAATTGAAAGGTCCAGACTGAACACTTGGCCACTGAAGAAATATAAAATAGCCAGGACCCCAAAATACTGCCATGGATACCCCGAGGAATGTCCTCCTTCATTCTAGAACCACAGTGCTTACCTCCAGATTAAATTCTCTACCCGCAAGGTAAGTTGGAGTCCTGGATATCAGCGGGTTGCTGATAATAATCTAAGTATTTTGCCAAGCGCAATTTTATGTGAGACGTTTCCAAAAGCCTAGCAAATGGATAAGAGTTTGCCAGTTTCAACACTTTATCCAGTTGTCTTCCCGCACGAACTGGCTGGAAGTGCACGACGAGCAACTTCCGTAACGGTACTGAGCCCCTTCGGAGTATTGGCCATGTCGAAGTGAAACATGTAATGCTCATCCGCAAGATTTTCTAGCGCTTCAAATACCACTGCTATGAGCAGCACTGTTATACGGTTTCGGCGTCTGGACAGTCCTACCTTTTGAAAAGAAGGAACTGGATGATGCACTTCTGGCGCTTCGTGAGCTTCTGCTCACCTGACGAATTCTGGAAGGAAGGTGGATAATACAGGACTTTCACGCACTGTCTGAGAACCAACGGCCACATTTCATGGCACCTTAGTGATTTTATTGAGTGAGGCTCTTCCAACTTTTCTAGAACTATGCCCTAATCTGTTGTGAACAAGTCGGAACTTTGGATGTGTGAAACTGTGGCGGATGAACGGAAAGCTGAGTGATGTTAGCGAATTGATTGTGTAGCCGCCTATCACAGCCAGTGCCCAAAACGCCGGTTATTTCCTCTGCGTTCGGGACTTTTCATGATACACGTTTCCTTCCTGGTTAGCTTCCGTTTGCCATGAATCAGCATAAGATTTAGAGTTTGCCTCCAGTTTCCTACCAGTTTAACCTGATGGAATCTGCCGTCCATGCCCACCGTGACATCAAGCTGATTTCCCAGAGCTTTAAATACGCCATAACCAGCACTCTTCTAGAGTATCCCTGTCTTGTTACAAGCCTCTTGCTCAGTTTTTAGAAGACGCTTAGCTCATGTAGCCAGAAGGTTGTGTCTTGAAAGCTGTTCGGGAACTTCTAAACAGTGTGCTTTTGGCTTGCAAAGGCTGTTAAAACTATAAACTTCAGAGTCGGAGTTTATCATTGCCAAACCATAGATTATTAACCCCAGGGTGTCAGCTGCAGCTTTGTTTGTCATCGCCGTGAGGAGTTTACCAAAGATCACATTCGTTATGACCTCCTTCATGCAGTACCACCACTCATCCTTCGGTAGAGAATTCCACTTGTGAGGCCGTGACTCCGTTAATACGTATTCTGGCAGCAGTGAGGAATTTATCCCGGTTTAGCAAAGGCTAAGAATGGATATGTTGCATTTTGGCTGTTGGCTTGTGCTCAGGCGAAACATGAATGCGACGAAAATACGTTGGTTAATAGTGGTCCGAATTTATTCATTCTACACTACCAGATGGCCTCCTGTTAATAGGTGGTTCGACTGAGGTTTGCTCTGCAACCATTTCCATTCCGAAGCGGTGCTTTGTCGATACACCGCCACCTCTACATTCCCCTTCTCTTATTACCGGCACAATGCCATATTTACTGAGTTCACTGTCACCAAAGAAACAGAATCCTTGGTGCCAGGCGCAAACATCAAATCTCACCCCTTCTGTTTCGCCCATAAACAAGCTCGCACTACCGTAAAAGCGCTGGACTGTCTGCTTAGGAAAATACGTCATCTGCTGATGAATAAAAGGAACAAGTCTGTTGAGGAAATCGAAACTGATACCCATTGGACTGCGGTTGCCTTTCCTATCTAGTCCTTTATCGATTCCCGTGCTTCCCATGAGTACGTGTGTTCTAAGTAATTTGCAGGCTGACTGGAGCTTGAAATTGATAGTTGATCTCTTTTAACAGTCTCAGTAAAATTGGGGTTAACTGTTTCAGCGGTGAGTGTTCCAACTCACCTTGCTCTCAGCCGCTTCCCACATTTAAAGGCCTTTATCAGTAGCTAAGGTGCGTCAGACATTACACCTTTCAGGCATCGTAAGCTAATCTGTTATCGGGCCGTTAGGGTCTGGGAACCTGCACCCTCACTGCCACATTCCGCCTCAGTCCCAAATGCTGTAAGGGCTGGTCTCATTGTTAGACGCCTTAAGAATATTTCTCCCACAAATTCAGCAGTCTTTGGTCCTAAAATTCTTCGAGAGACCATGGATATGGGCCTCAGCAGATAGGATTCTCGCCCCTACACCGGTTTGAAAACTGATGACGCATGCAGTTTGATTCTGTTCACCAAGGATGGTCTACTCCTGGAATATGAAGTGGCAAGAGTACTTCCTCAACTTCTATGGCTGTCTGGTGTTATTAACATTCGTGGTAGCCCGCAGTGTGGTGCGCGTTGCCCTCGCATACACTGCATGTATTAGACGGCTAAGCGTTTGACCCAAATTCGCTGCATGATTCTACTCACTGTTTGTGATCAAACCTGTCTTTTTGTCCCAGTAGGCTGCCACCACAGATTGGTATATCGAACAAGTTTTCCCGCAGCTGGAGAAAGGTGAGGTTAATGCTGGGCATTTTGGTTTACGAATCAGGCTAGAGAAACCTGAGGAGTATCCCGTTCGTGGTATGTTGCTCACATAGCCTTCCCTGAGAAAAGTATTTTGTGACTGCCGGTGGGTGAGTGTCCCTGACTGGTCTGCTACTTGTGGTTTGGCAGTCACTTCTGTTTGTAACCCTTTTCCCTTGAAGGTGATGGAACCACTGATATGGATTCAGGTGTGAGCAGTTGACTGTGTTCTATACGTGTCCTGATGTAAACCTTCGGCGAAATCGAAATTTTTGCGATGACAGTCTTTTACGCCAGAACTAACTGCATGGGTGTTGTATCATAAACTAATAGCATGGCTTAGGGAGTTCCCCGTCAAGCTGACAGAACATACACTGGTCACAGAAAATGCATTCAAAAGTTAAGTAGACTTGGTCATCATAAGGCTATCGACGTGGTATTCGTCGGCCTTGTGACTGAATTTTTTCAAATGGTTCCCACTGGTACCTTCCTTTAGCAGGCTTTTCAGGTTCAGTGAGCGATTCACCGACACGGCGGGATCGCCCAATTTGCCATGTCTACGGCGACAGACGAGGTTCGGAGAGCTTGTATGGGCCTTGCGAACCGGAATCCTTTGACAGCTGTCACACCCAACCGACAAGTTTTCGCTTTTTCCGGTCCCGCTTGCAGTTCTTATCTGCACATCAACTTGCGATTGCATACTCAGAGTAATATACGGCACCTCTGTCAACAGTGCAAAAGGCGAGTTTTAGTTTGAGGGGAAACAATGTGACTGAGAATACACATCGGCGGATGAGAGACAAGAGGGGAAGAGCCACTTTTAAGACACAGGGTCAACGCGTTGGAATATAGTGAACGGGTTGACTCATCTTTAACTGTTGGGCTGTATTTCCACTATCTATGTTAGTATCTTCTGCTTTCCCCCCGTTCTACTCTTAGATTTCATCCCAAGCATTAGGGTTCTTCCTAACTCTGTCCCTCTCCCGTTCAACCCGAACTTGCATAAAACTTTCCTTTCCTTTGCGTGTAACCCCCATTCCCTTTCTTCTAATTCCCCCTCCTTTCTCTTCACAGTCAACATCTAACCGCCGTCGTCTCTATCCTAAAAATGATAGGAGCAACCGTCTGACTACAAGACATTTGAAAAAACTACCTTCACACCAGCCCCAGGAAAACGATTCAACTCCCTTCAAATTCAACAAACAACCAACAACCTATTGGCTTCACCAGACCTACGATAGACAAATGGGTGGATCTTCTGCATCAAGTCCCGCCGAGGACTTGGAAACGTCGAATAAGGTCTGGAGCGACGGCGAAGAAGCCAGGCGATTTATATAAGCTCGCGGAACAGACAGTGGCGGTAGAAGTCTTTCAGGTATACGGTACTCCGGCAGTTGATTCGCAAGCCGTATCTGTTTGACCAAATGAGAAAGGAAGTGCAAAATATTAAAAAATTGAGAATGAACCAGTGATTTGAAGCAGTTGGATCTGCAA